TGACGACACACTCGGGCAGTTCAGCAGGATGTACTAGAGAAAACATAAAAAAAAAACATTTTTGACGTTAAATATGTATTTTTACATATAATATATTCTAACATTTATATTAAATGGGCCATATACATATATAAGTCTCTTCTGCTCACCAAAGCTGCATTTATTTAATCAAACATACAGCAAAAAACTGTATAAAGGTGTGAAATATTATTACTATTTAAAATAACTGTTTACTATGTGACTATGTTGTAAAATGTAATTTATTCGTGTGATGAAAAAGCTGAATTTTCAGCTTCATTACTCCAGTCTTCAGTGTCACATGATCTTCAGAAATCATTCTAATATGCTGATTTGCTGCTCCAGAAACATTTCTGATTATTATCAATACGGAAAACAATTGTGCTGATCAATATTTTTTGGAAACTTTTATTTTTTTCAGGATTCTCTGATGAACAGAAAGTTAAAAAGAACAGCATTTATTTGAAATAGAAATCTTTTGTAACACTATAAATGTCTTTACTGTCACTTTTGATCAATTTAATGTATCCTTGCTGAATAAAAGTATTAATTTCTAAAAATAAACTGACCCCGAGCTTTTGAATGATAGCACAGTAGACTGAACTCTTTCATTTAAAAAGAGCAAGGAAAGTACTGATTTTCATTGTATTTCCCCTGTAAAAATTATAAACGCTTTGTAAACAAACTTTAATGTAACTGTGTGGAGGCGGGGCTCACCTGTCCAGGGCGGGACTTAAAGCCGCTCTTCAGCATGCGCAATTCTACAACATGGCATGGATGACTAATGACAGAAACTATGGTAACAGGAGCAGTGCTGCTTCTTATGAAACGATACAACCACTCGGCACAGTACAGGCAGAGAGGAGCAGAGACCCACAACCATGTCTAAAACACACACACACACACACACTGATAATCAAATATGCATGTACATATAAAAACAACAACATGAAAGACACAATTACTTAATCATATTTTAATCAGACAGACAGACCTGAGGAAAATGGGGTTGAAAACGAGCCTCTTCTTGACAGTGAAGTGTCTGTGGTGCACCTGAAGACTCCGCCCCCTTCTCTCCTGCTGCTCTGTGATTGGTCCATGAACTGAGATTGTTGTTGTGCATGCAGCCAGGTGGGTGGGTTTCCAAGTTTGATTGATACTTTAAAGCTCCTCTATTGGACAGAGAGGTGTCAATCATATCACATAAAGCATTCAAGTAAAAAAACATCCCAATTTGCATAGAACTTCCAACAGATCATCATTAGTTTTTAATTAATTTGACAAAAAATAGCTTAGTCTTGAATATCTCTGCTCTCAACT